TCGGTGAGCTTCATGCTCTCCTCCAGCGCAGGGGTTTCTGCTCTTTCGGTCCTGGTGGACGGTTTGTTCGACTGCAGCCATCTCCTTCTTTTCTGGCAAAGAATGAGACGGTGGGCTTCCGGAGGGGGTCTGTGGATTATTGATGCTTGGTTGGTTAGGCCAGGGGTGCATCCTGTGTTGTGTCCAGTTGCCGCTCTTCGCCGTTACCTGCGTGCCTCGGCTTCTGTGGCCGTGGACGATCTTTGGATTGATCCGATTTCCCTCATTCTCTGTTCCACGGCTTGGGTCTCTCAGGTTGTCCGCAGGGTTATTAAGTCCAGCCAACCTGCGGTCTACGCTCGTGTCCATGATGTGCGTAAGTTTGCTGCTTTGGCCACCGTGTTTGCTAACATGTTCTGGGCTGACATTCAGGCACGGGAGTTTTGGAGGTCGTACAGGGCCCTGGCCACCTGTTATTTGGTGAATGTTCCAGGTCCAAGACGTTCTTGTGTGGCCTTGGACTGCTGGTTGCAGCCAGTTGTCTCGTCTTCGAGTTGAGGCATGCGGCATGCGCCTCCTGGGTAAGTCCCTCTTTTACTTATCTTTGGTTATGTAGCTCCAGGAACCCAAAGGAGCTCCCCACAGAAAACCAGCGTTGAATGCAATCAAACACAATTTTTTGGGCGAGCCCCGGAGGCTCCCTGGCACCCTCCCCCCCCTCTCCCCCTCCGGTCAGCAGTTTGGTTTTTGATGCTCAATCCCCGAACTGAAGAGTGGGCAGCCGGCGGCGGTGGATGAGGACGTTTGCTTGTTTACTTATTTTCTTTTGGTGGAGTTCTGTTTCTTTGTTTTGCAACTTGCTACCAAGTGGGGTTTGTTTTGGGATGCCTATCTTTCTGTGTGCCTAACCCAGGTCGATGGCAGACACGGAATACTCCCAAATACAGGGGGAGGGTTTCCTTAGGTCATTGCTCCCTGCACCCCTCTTAAGTGGCCAGGTTCTGACTCATGGTCCCCGGTAGATGGAACTCCATTGACTTAAGCCCCAAATTAATATAAGTTAATATCAATCCGATAGCTCCAGGGAGCCTCCGGGGTCTCGCCCAGAAAATGGCGTTTCATTATATTCAATGCTGGGTTTTTTTATCCGAGCACCCATACACGTATGTTTATCCTATCCTTCGGGTTCTTCTTGCTCAATGTCCGAGTCGGGCGTCTTTTCGCCACTCCGCTTTTATTGGTTTGGCCTTACCTTCTGCCTTATGTATCTGGACTTTTTCACTATTCTTTATTGCCATTTGTATGATAAATAGATGGCTGGTTTGATGTTGTCCCAACTGCAGTCATCCTCACAGTGACAGTATGAGGTTTCTTGACAGTCTAAATCATTTTCTTGCCGTTCATCATTTTCTTTCCGTTTCTGTCTGGGTTTTGTCCTTTCTTTCTTGACTTTTTCTCAATTGGCATCTCATTGCAAATGCAGTACTGTCTCTTCTTAATTAACATGCGGCTTTGATAAAGCTGCTTCTGCTCGCGTTTGGGGTTGACATTTCATCAACCTCGTTCCGCAAGTTTTCTCATACTTTGTTTCACCACCAGCCTGCTTATGTGCCGCCTGGTTCTGCCTGGTCCTTGGACTGGGTTCTTTCTTCGGCTCAGTTTACTGTGACCTCCTTTGGTCCAGGATTGTTTTTGCGAAGGCTTTGTTTTTGCTTTCCTTGGCTTCCAGTTGTCAGGTGGGTGAGCTTCCTCCTCTGCTCCAGTGCCGGGGGGCTTTGTTCTTTTGGTCCTGGTGGTCGTTTTGTTCAGTTGCAACTGTCTCCTTTTTTGGGGAACTGTTACCTAGCAGTAAAATAGGTACCTGGGTGTTAGTCAGCTGTCACGGGCTGCTTCCTGGGGGTGGAGGCCTGGTCGAGGACCGGGCCGCGGGGACACTAAAGCCCCGAAATCATCTCAAGATAACCTCAAGAAGAATGAAATGGCGGGCTTATGAAGGGGGTCCTTTGCTTGTGGATGCTAGGTTGGTTTGGCTGGGGGGTAAATCATTGTGTGACCAGTGGCAGCATTGCACCGCTACCTTCGAGCCACCGGTTCTGTTTCGGTGGATTCGTTGTGGGTTGAACCGAGTTTCCCTGGTTCCATGTTCCAGGGTTAGTGTGCCTCGGGTTGTCTACACTCATTAAAGTTAGCCAGCTTGCGGTCTACCCTCGTGCTCATGATGTTCGAAAGTACGGTATGCTGCTTTGTTGGCCATTTCTGGTAACATGTCTTGGATCGACATTTGGGCATAAGAGTTTGAAGGGCTAACAGGGTCTTGGTGTTCAGGTATCTTGTTAACGTCCCTGGTCCTCTGAGGTCTTGTGTTCCCCTGGGGCATCTGTCGCAGCTGTCGGTCTCTTCTTCAAATTGATACCTGTGGTGCTTCCATCTCTCCAGTAAGTCCGCTATTTTGTCCTTCTCTGTGGGTTAGTTAGCTTCAGGAAGCTGATGGGGGACTCCCCTCAGAAAACCAGCATTGAATATAACACTCCAGTTTCTGGGTGACCGTTTAAAGCTCCCTGACACCCTCCCTCTCTCATGTCGGCATCTTTTTCATAATTATTGAACTGACCGTTGTCGGCCAGCTCCTTCTTTCCTCCCCCACCAACATGGTGAAAGGTGGAGTTACGTAGCGGGGGCTTGGTTTGATGAAGTTCTGGTTGTGTCTTTTGTTGTTGTGGAGTTCTTTTATCATTATGAGGGTTGCAGTCTTATTTTTCAAGCAGGAAGTAGTCTCTTGATATGCCTATCTTTCTGGGTGCTTCCCTGGATGATGGCAAAGATGATAAACTTTAAGTGTAAAGTGTTTATAGGCCATTGCTCCCTGCACCTCTATGAATGGGGCCCAGGTTCTAGCTTCTGGTCTCCCCGTAAGCAAGAAGGACTCTTTGACTGATGATTCCAAGTACAGTAGTATGGCACTGAGGGTAATCAGTGTGATAGCTTCAGGGAGGCTCCGGGTCTCACCCAGAAACTGGCATTTTGTTGCATTCAACACTGGTTTTCTGGCAGAAGGGGGGTGACCCTTCAGCTCCCCGGAACTTACTAGGCTGATATGCCAATGTCAGACTTTGGCATCAGTCATGTGTATGGAGTTCTATGGGCCTACCGGGGACCACAAGCCAGAACCTGGCCCCCTCAGAAGAAGCAAGGGGAGCAATGGCCTATAGAAACCCCCGTGTGGTTGGAAGCATTCTATGTCTGCCATCGACCGGGTCAGGCACCCAGAAAGGTAAGCGTCCCAAAACAAACCCCTATTCTGGTGAAAATTGCTACCACAAACTAAACAAGTGGATAGGACTCCCCTAAAAGAAACGAGCAAACAATCATAGCGTCACACGTCGCCGCGCTGCTGTCTGCGCAGCTCCCCTCTTCCTCAGGAGGGGAAAGGGGGAGCCCCAGATCCACTGCGCCGGCTATCCACCACCAGTTCTAAGGCTGATGCTAGAGGCTGAGGTCGTGTGCTCTGGCTCCGGTGGTTTTGGGTTGATCCGGTTTCCCTTCTTCCCTGTTCGCGGGTGTGGGTCGTCCGCAGAGTTCTTCAGGCTAGCCAGCCTGCGGTCCATCCCCGTGCCCATGACATTCGTACGTTCGCTGCTCTTGCTGCCGTATTTGGCACCATGTCTTGGGCTGCCATTCGGGCATGGGGCTTTTGGCGGTCGAACAGGGTCCTGGCTGCTCGTTACCTCGTGCACATTCCCAGGGCCTCTTCGGGCCTGTGTCATTTTGGTTCGACTGTTGCAACCAGTTGTCTCGACTTCGAGTTGAGGAGTGAGCGGCGACCGCCTCCCGGGTAAGTCCCTCTACTTTCCTCTGTGGATAGTTAGCTCCGGGGAGCCAAAGGGGCTTTCCCCCAGAAAACCAGCGTTGAATGTAATGGAACGCCATTTTCTGGGTGAGACCTGGAGGCTCCCCGGCATCCCTCCCTCTCTCTAGTCGGCATTTTTTGTTGCGTTTTTTGACATCCAGCCTCAGAACTGGTGGTGGATAGCCGGCACGGTGGGTCTGGGGCTCCCCTTCCCGGGGAGGGGGAAGCTGCACAGACAGCGGCGCAGTGACATGTAATGTCATAATTGTTTGCTCTTTTCTTTTAGGGGAGTTCTATCCACTTGTTCGGCTTGTGGTAGCAAGTTTCACCAGAATTGGGGTTTTTTTTGAGACGCTTACCTTTCTGGGTGCCTGACCCAGTCAATGGCAGACATAGAATGCTTCTAACCACAAAGGGGTTTCAGTAGGCCATTGCTCCCCTTGCCTCTTCGAAGGGGGCCAGGTTCTCGCTCGTGTTCCCCGGTAGACCCATAAGAACTCCATACACATGACTGATGCCAAAGTCTGACATTAGCATATCAGCCTAGTAAGCTCCGGCGCACCTCCAGGTCTCACCCAGAAAGTGGCATTTCATTACATTCATAGCTTGTTTGTTTTTTATCATTGCAGCTACACACGTCTTGGTTTATCATAGCAGCTACACACGTCTTGGTTTATCATAGGACCTACACACATCTTGGTTTATCATAGCAGCTACACCCGTCTCAGTTTATCATAGCAGCTACACACGTCTTGGTTTATCGTAGGACCTACACACGTCATGGTTTATCATAGCAGCTACACACGTCTCGGTTTATCATAGCAGCTACACACGTCTTGGTTTATCATAGCAGCTACACCCGTCTCAGTTTATCATAGCAGCTACACACGTCTCAGTTTATCATAGCAGCTACACACGTCTTGGTTTATCATAGCAGCTACACACGTCTCAGTTTATCATAGCAGCTACACACGTCTCAGTTTATCATAGCAGCTACACACGTCTTGGTTTATCATAGCAGCTACACACGTCTCAGTTTATCATAGCAGTTACACACGTCTCTATCATAGCTTCTACATTAGTCTGTTTATCATCGCATCCTTTTATGTAGTTTGCACTTCAGTTTCTTGTGTTCAACTGATTTCTAAAAAGAATTCTTTGCATTTTTTTCCAGGTCTAGGTTCAATAGGCACGTGCGAGCCATGGGTGGCCTGGGTCGGTGCTAATGCCACGTTGCATGCCCTGTGGGTAGCCACACTCTTGGGGTGCCAGCTGTACCAGGTAATGCCCTCGTAGAGACGTGTAGATTGGAGTGTTGTGTATTACTAACCATGAGAATGTTATGGTGAAAAATGATATGGAGATGTACAGATATGTGAATTACTCCTTTTAATGGAATGGGGAAGAAAAATGTAATTTTGAGACTGCAAAGAATAGGTATTGAAGGAAAGGGAATATTTTAGTATTTCAAGTGAGTGAAGACTATTGTAGTAAGGTCTAAAAAACATACAATTGCATTTATATATATATATATGTGTGACAATGTCAGACCACGGAGGAAAAATGAAACAGGAAATTTCCTTAAGTACTTTCGTATATTAAATACATCTTCAGAAGGTCATTTTACAGATCGAGTGATGGGTATAAATAGGCAGGAGAGAGTGGTGAAGTAAGGTGAGGTACAATACTTGGACAACGCAGAAGGCCCATTGGCCCATCAGATGCACCCAATTAGCCCATCCGATGTAGCCCAATGGCCCATCTGATACAGCAGACATACAAGCATAATACATAGGTAATTATAACATAAAGAGGTAAATATATACAATAAATTAGTGAGACAAATGTTTTTCAATGATTCTACTTAAATCGCCCTTTAGCTGATCTATTAGAAATGGATCTAAGTTATATAGACCACTGCTAATATTCAAATTACTTTCTTTGGTGATCTGTATCAAAGCGGATTCAATTATGTTTCTGTTATAGGTGCTGTTATAGAAACATAATTGAATCCGCTTTGATACAGATCACCAAAGAAAGTAATTTGAATATTAGCAGTGGTCTATATAACTTAGATCCATTTCTAATAGATCAGCTAAAGGGCGATTTAAGTAGAATCATTGAAAAACATTTGTCTCACTAATTTATTGTATATATTTACCTCTTTATGTTATAATTACCTATGTATTATGCTTGTATGTCTGCTGTATCAGATGGGCCATTGGGCTACATCGGATGGGCTAATTGGGTGCATCTGATGGGCCAATGGGCCTTCTGCGTTGTCCAAGTATTGTACCTCACCTTACTTCACCACTCTCTCCTGCCTATTTATACCCATCACTCGATCTGTAAAATGACCTTCTGAAGATGTATTTAATATACGAAAGTACTTAAGGAAATTTCCTGTTTCATTATTCCTCCGTGGTCTGACATTGTCACATTCTTAATCACGTGTTTATTTTCGTGATATACACACATATATATGTGTGTATATCACGAAAGTAAACACGTGATTAAAAATGTGACAATGTCAGACCACGGAGGAAAAATGAAACAGGAATTTCCTTAAGTACTTTCGTATATTAATACATCTTCAGAAGGAGTGATTTTACAGATCGAGTGATGGGTATAAATAGGCAGGAGAGAATGGTGAAGTGAGGTGAGGTACAATACGTGGACAGCACAGACGGCCCATTGGCCCATCAGATGCAGCCAATTGGCCCATCTGATGTCGCACAATGGCCCATCCGATACAGCACACATACACAGGCACAATACATAGATAATTATAGCAATAAAATGGTAAATATATACAATGAATTAGTGAGACAAATGCGTTCCAATGATCCTACTTAAATCACCCTTTAACTGATCTATTAAAAATGGATCTAAGTTATATAGACCACTGCTAATATTCAAATTACTTTCTTTTGTGATCTGTATCAAAGCAGATTCAATTATGTTTCTGTTATAGGTGCTTTTACAATTTGTTATTGAAGAAGCACTCTCCCAATCAATTTGGTGAGCTTTTTCTGACAAATGAACAAACAAAGCATTAGACAATTGGCCATGTCTTACAGAGTATTTATGTTGCGATATTCTACATTTTAAATCTTTAGATGTTTGCCCGACATAGAACTTATTACATTCTTTACAAGGTATTTTATAAATAACACAATTATCACTACGAGGGCTGTTCCTAACTAATAGCTTACCAACAGTGTTTTCGTAGCTAAACATTACATCTATATTAAAAAGTTTCAAGGCCTTGACAATATTCTCAAACCCAGAGAAATATGGTAAACATAACACATTCTTTGGGCGAATCCTTTCACTGCATACATTATTATAATATGTACGACGTGCTTTGTTACGGCAAACTTCCAAAAAATTCAGTGGGTAACAAAGCTTAAGACCAATCGAATCAATATTCTTAAACTCATCGTCTAAGAATTCTGGACTCACAACTCGAAGAGCTCTTAGATACATTGAAGAGAAAATTGACTTTTTCACATTGTATCTATGTCCTGAAAAATAATGAACATAAGATAAATTATTCGTAGGTTTTCTGTAAACACTAAACTTTAATGAAGAGTCTTTCCTATGAATAAGCACATCTAAGAATGGCAAACATTTATCAATTTCAGTCTCCATAGTAAATTTTATGGAGGTGACTTGGTCATTAAGTTTGGCTACAAATTCGTCTGTGTTGACATCTGAAGGCCAAATACACAAGATATCATCAACATATCTAAACCATGGAATGATTCCAGGAGTTATTTTTTAAACAAATTTCTTTTCGAAGAATTCCATGTACAAGTTTGAAAGCAATGGCGATAGAGGATTCCCCATTGCCATTCTAAAAGTCTGTAAATAATACTCATTATTAAAGGTAAATTTACATTCTTTAATGCACAACTTAACAAGACTGACAATAATACCAGCAGAAAGAGGTAAAACATGGCTCATTAGTTCACGAGCAAGATAATCGAGAATATCATCAACCGGTACCTTTGTGAACAAAGAACAAACGTCAAAACTGATTAACTTTACATCAGGAGTGACAGGAACACTATTCAATTTGTTAACTAATTCAAGAGAATTTGTCAAATGAGAAGAGGAGATCGTTCCTAACAATGGGGACAAGATTTTGGTAAGCCATTTGGAGAGTTTGTAAGAAATGGATCCCACAGAACTGATGATAGGTCTCATGGGATTGTTAGGTTTATGCGTCTTAACAAGACCATATAGATATGGTAATGAAGGTGATGAGGTAGTAAATTGATTAAGAAGATCTTTATGTTTACTTAACAACTTCCTCAAGCTGCTATTGAAGAACTTGATGATGTCCTCAAGGGGATTTTTCTTAAGCTTAGTGTACATTGAAGAATCTAGGAGGAGATCATTCATTTTCGAAATATATCCATGGGTTCTGAGAGAATGTGCATCTGAGCTCAGCATTCCACTTCACCTGATCTTTCAGGCATCCCTGTGTACAGGAATCGTAGCAGACGTGTGGAAACAGGCTAACATAGTTCCAATCTACAAAAGTGGCAGCAGGGAAGACCCCCTCAATTATAGACCTGTATCATTGACAAGTGTAATAGTGAAAGTATTGGAAAAGCTAATCAAAACTAAATGGGTAGAACACCTGGAGAGATATGATATAATATCAGACAGACAGTATGGTTTTCGATCTGGAAGATCCTGTGTATCGAATTTACTCAGTTTCTATGATCGAGCCACAGAGATATTACAGGAAAGAGATGGTTGGGTTGACTGCATCTATCTGGACCTAAAAAAGGCTTTCGACAGAGTTCCACATAAGAGGTTGTTCTGGAAACTGGAAAATATTGGAGGGGTGACAGGTAAGCTTCTATCATGGATGAAAAATTTTCTGACTGATAGAAAAATGAGGGCAGTGATCAGAGGCAATGTATCGGAATGGAGAAATGTCACAAGTGGAGTACCACAGGGTTCAGTTCTTGCACCAGTGATGTTTGTTGTGTACATAAATGATCTACCAGTTGGTATACAGAATTATATGAACATGTTTGCTGATGATGCTAAGATAATAGGAAGGATAAGAAATTTAGATGATTGTCATGCCCTTCAAGAAGACCTGGACAAAATAAGTATATGGAGCACCACCTGGCAAATGGAATTTAATGTTAATAAATGTCATGTTATGGAATGTGGAATAGGAGAACATAGACCCCATACAACCTATATATTATGTGAGAAATCTTTAAAGAATTCTGATAAAGAAAGAGATCTAGGGGTGGTTCTAGATAGAAAACTTTCACCTGAGGACCACATAAAGAATATTGTGCAAGGAGCCTATGCAATGCTTTCTAACTTCAGAATTGCATTTAAATACATGGATGGCGATATACTAAAGAAATTGTTCATGACTTTTGTTAGGCCAAAGCTAGAATATGCAGTTGTTGTGTGGTGCCCATATCTTAAGAAGCACATCAACAAACTGGAAAAGGTGCAAAGACATGCTACGAAGTGGCTCCCAGAACTGAAGGGCAAGAGCTACGAGGAGAGGTTGGAAGCATTAAGCGTGCCAAAACTAGAAGACAGAAGAAAAAGAGGTGATATGATCACTACATACAAAATAGTAACAGGAATTGATAAAATCGACAGGGAAGATTTCCTAAGACCTGGCACTTCAAGAACAAGAGGTCATAGATTTAAACTAGCTAAACACAGATGCAGAAGAAATATAAGAAAATTCACCTTCGCAAATAGAGTGGTAGACGGTTGGAACAAGTTAAGTGAGAAGGTGGTGGAGGCCAAGACCGTCAGTAGTTTCAAAGCGTTATATGACAAAGAGTGCTGGGAAGACGGGACACCACGAGCGTAGCTCTCATCCTGTAACTACACTTAGGTAATTACACTTAGGTAATTACACACTTCAAGAACAAGGTCATAGATTTAAACTAGCTAAACATAGATGCCGAAGAAATATAAGAAAATTCACCTTCGCAAATAGAGTGGTAGACGGTTGGAACAAGTTAAGTGAGAAGGTGGTGGAGGCCAAGACCGTCAGTAGTTTCAAAGCGTTATATGACAAAGAGTGCTGGGAAGACGGGACACCACGAGCGTAGCTCTCATCCTGTAACTACACTTAGGTAATTACACTTAGGTAATTACACACACCCCCCCCTCACCCCCCCTACCTTCCTCCCTTGGGTAAAAGTGACCATGTGTTTTGGGGAATAAAGTTTGCAATGCGTTATAATCTGGAAGAAAATAAGGAGGTTGAAGCAGTT